CCCCAAAACCCCAAAACCCCAAAACCCCAAAACCCCTAAATCTAGATGAAATATTGAAAGCAAAGAGAATCCTTCCACCTAGCTCTTTCAAGAATTTAGTGTATACATCATTTATGATAATTATCAATTTATCAGTTTGCTGTCAAGTTAGATCGTTATTTTAGATCTCTTAGCTTGGTGATCTATTTCTTCTAGTTCATCTGATTTTCTTTTCACTGCAGTCTTCTGGCAAATATCAGCAGGATCAGCTATGATTACATCATCTGAATTTTGATCAACACAAGTATAGGTGGGTTCAGATTTATCCTGCTCTGGAACTATTTTGGCCTCTTCCTTGCTAGGATTTTGCTTTTGAGATCCTTCTACCACTATTTCAAATATGTATCCTTGTGGGTTCTCATCCTTATTAACCACCTTTGAATAATGAAGCTCAATATCGCAAGTAAAATCTTGAAGGAAGTCATCTACTCTGATCTTGTTATATTTATCTCCCACGTTAAGATCACCCTTCAGTAGTTTTGGAAGTTTGTGCTCGTATTCTTCAATTTCATCCTCATCAAGATCATCACCTGTTTCGAAGAAGATCTTTCCACCGCACTCAAGAGTAGGAGAGCTTATTGAGAGATCTTTCTTGAGTACTTTTTCAATCAAATCTTGAAGCTTAAAAGTCTCTTCATCAACAGTGAGTTTGTACAAGGGCTTCACATTTGAGCAGATTTGACAGTTCTTGTTAATCTCTTGAGTGATATCTGAGGAAGTAATCACTCTGTCTGCATTCTTTGAAGAGAAAGTGACTGCTTTTAGCTTACTTGTTTGTCCAGAAAGGATTTTAAGACCTTCAATGACTTCCATTCCTGCAACTATTCCATTAGTGCTAGAAATTGCAGGGATAATATTTCCTGCCATTTCTTTGATCTTAAACCCTGTCTCTTTTGCTATGTTGTAGTTGTATGCTCTGAGGTTACTACATGCAATTATGAAGCCGAGAAGAATCTCGTCATCTTTGTCAAACTCAATATGTCCAACCTTGTCTCCATATTTAGTAAGAATACTTTCAATGCTTTTATAGAACAGTTGGACATAGAGACTAATATCCCAGATTTCAGTATCTTTCCTATTTCCCTCTTTATCTTCATATTTTATTTCTTCAGGATTAGTGTTGAATACAGTGCTATCCAAGGGCTGCAGTTCTTTCTTTCTGAGCATTTCAATAACTTTGATTTCCTCTTCTTTCAGTTCAGATTTTCCATATTCTTGCTTCTTATTTCTGAGCTCAAGTTGAGAATGGATCTCTTCATCGAAGACTTTAGTGAAAACTTTTGTTGCAAGAGCTTTATAATCTCCATTTTTAACAACTTCACTCAGCTCTTCTCTGATATCTTCAAGAAAGTTGACTTCTCCTTGATCTCCAAATAAAGCATTGAGGAGATACTTTGCCCATACAATTCAGTGAATCATTTTGTCTGGAGTGGCTCTGATAGTACAAACTGGAAACTGCTTTGGAGTTGGCTTTGGGATACATTCATAGCAAGGAGTCTTATCTTTTAAGATACTCACAGTGGTTCCTATGTATCCGGTCGAGCCTCCGTCAATGAGAGGGCGATTTAGTGAAATACAAACTCTATTTACATGCTTCCTGGCATCAATGTTATCTAAAGCATTGTAAATTAAGTCAAAACTCTTGAAGAAGTCAGAGTCAAATCGACCATCCTTGATATTTCCAACATAATGTTTGATATTGAGAGCTGGGAATCTTCTCTTGATAGCTTTGGCAGCACATTCAGATTTGTGTTTACCTACATCCTCTCTTGTGAACAGAAATTGTCTATTGAGATTACTGATATCAATAGTGTCCATATCAACAACTTCGATTTGCTTAAACCCTGTCATTGCTAAATTTTTGAGTAGCTCTCATCCTATTCCTCCAGCTCCAACTACAAGAACTTTCTTTGACTCGAATTCGCTTGAGAATGCCTCCATTGATCTATAAAAATTATATATTATTAAGTGAAAGTAAACAAACTTGGTCTAGTTTCTGTTTGAAATCCTCAAAGTTCACAAGGGATCTATTGCCAAAACTCATTCGTATTGATGCCTGCTAGAATAGCAAGTAGCTTGGCAAGTTATCAGTTTAAAGCATGACTTACATTTTAAGCTTTTTAATTTTATTAATTGACTTCAAATTTGGTTTAAAAATAAGGGGTTTTGGGGTTTTGGGGTTTTGGGG